GGTGAAAAGAGACGAGTCAGGTAAACGGGGGAAGACTTGTGGGTAATGAAACAGAAGCTAGCCGAGAAGAAATATGGAAAAAAATCATCATTTCGGGCTTACTTAGCATTGTCAACTATTCATAGCCTGACTCCAAGTCAGGAAGATCTGAGGCCAGAATTAGGTGTAGCAGCTTTAGTTGTCATTTGGAATTGCAAACCAGTTACGCAGACCTTTGCAAGCAGGCTAGATTGGCAAACGTTATGTACATGTGACCCAAACAAGGATGATTCAGGGCCTCTCCCTTACCGAAACACAATCCTCGGATTTAGCGCTGTGCAACGGGATCGTTAAGAGGCCCAGAGAGAGGGAGAAAGAGAGAGCCTCGGGTCATCACGCGCTGACGACGACTTATGTGCCTTAAATGGTCATTCCAGTCTCCTTCGTCACTGCCGGTAATGCTATCTGCCCCACATAACCTTAGTCACAAAGGGTTTACAAAAAGAGGTGGACCCGTCAACAGAAACCCGAAGTTAAAAACGCCAAGCATAGGTTTAATTTTATCCCACAAATGCACGAAAGCCTTTAATAAACACACAGCAGTAAGCGAAAGGGGGGCAAAAGGCCAAAATAGGGTCTCGATTCGGGTGTGGAAAAGGTGGAAAAAAAGGCTTCAGGCAAGTTTACATTCAAGTGCTATCTAGTCTTATACCTAGGTCACAATGCAGCGCTGGTTTTGTGTGATCTCGCTGCCACGGATTTTCGAGGGTCGTTAGTCAGGCGTACAGCTCACCAGGGCTCTTTTTAAAGCCACTGGGATCCACTCCTGACACTCACTGACGCGGCCTTCATACACAAGTACTAGCCACCAGCTGTCTGTACACTTTACCCAATAACGGCTGTCCATTCGACTTTTTCTTCCAATGTGGGAATCGAAGTAGCAGCATCCAGTTCTACTGAAGACCACTTGAAGAACCAGTCCCTTAGGCTATAAAAGGCACCGTTAATTCGCGAGTCTCACCTTTTTCAGATTGAAAACAAACGCGAAATAGTCTAGAAGAGCAGGGTCGATTGAGGCGTGTGACTGCAAGTGTTCAGCAGTGGCTTCGTGTACCAGATCCCAGTAGCGAACATCAGGCAGTGCTGCTGAGGGCGAATCTCCCTGAGGCAGCGAGATCTGTTTCGGATCCAGAGCCTCAAAGAGCAGGCACATGTAATCGTAGATGGAGCGCAGGGTGAGAACAAGGTCATTCTAGGAAAAGAGAAATGGGAAGATGAAAGCAAGAGAAGTGATTGTTTTGCCGAAGAAGTGCGTAATCAGTTTTTTTATGGTCTGTGAAGATGAGTGCGACCTCCTCCTCCTCCTCCTTGGGGGTAGTGACTACGGTGTCAAATGAATTACAATGGGAAAAAACTGCAGACGTGCGTTGCATCTATCTTACCTGCTTTGTGCAAGACAATCGTTAAAAGCATATCAAGGTTTAGTCATTGAGCCTGATTTTCCGTTTCTTATAAACTGGAAGGCAGGCATCCCAAGAAATTTAATTTCAAGGAAAGGCGTTATTTTGGAAAATGAGTAAATTTATTCAGTAAATTTTCAACACTGGAGCCCCAGGTCGTCGTCAGACTTGAGAAGATGTGCAAACAACAGCTAATATTTCAAAGCGCTGATGCAGGTATATAGTCCTCTAGTCTGAGCGCTAATTAATAGTTGCAATTTGCGTCACATCGTGGTGGGCATAATAAGCAGTCGCAATGGCGTAATGGCTAATTGGCAGCTGACATTTGAGTCGGTCTGGGTCAGTCCAGCTCATCCAGTGTGAACGCTAATTGCGGTTCATGTTGGTCCATAATTGTCGATCGTAGTCTCTTCCACCTTGCTTTGAGGTTTTATTACACTCCAGCCAACTAAATACGCCGGTTTATGCATGAATCATCGGAGTGCATGGCCTCAAGCAAATCTCGGCCTTTTTTGGAGGGGCAAACTCCGACGATGCGTGTTTTGTCCCATGCGAAGGTATGCCCTGTGTCAAGGCAATGCATAGCCACTTCGGACAAATGCTCACGTCTCTTCACTGCCAACTGGTGCTCGTGGATGCATGTATAAACGGATCTTCTGGGTTGGCCACAATACAACGTGTCACAAGCTTCACATGGGATTTTGTAGATGGCTTCTTTCTTATCGAGGTATGTGCGCCACTTTTATTTGGTGTTGCCAGAAGTGGCTTTAAATGAGCTCAGACAAGTTCCTTATACAAGGAAGGATTCGCTATGTGTTTGTTTTGGGCGCCTGAGTGCAACTATCTGGTCCCTTCTTGTTAGATTGTCTCATGCATCGGCTTAAAAAGTCTCTGGGGTAACCACTGCGGGAAAACAATTCAAACAGATAATTGAGCTCGTTTCAGCAGGTTTCTTCGTCAGAGCAGTGTGTCTTGGCTCGGCGTAGCAGACTGTTGACGGCACTCCTTTTGTGAGAGATGGGGTTGTTGCTCTCGTAGTTAAGAATAACTTCCGCATACGTTTCTTTGCAGCAAACGGCCAAAACTTTATTGAATAAATTTACTCATTTTCCCAAAGGACGCCTTTCCTGAAAACTGATTTTCCGCCTCTGAGACGGATCAAGGAATACGTTCACGTGCCGCAGTGAGGGATTCCTCAGGGTCGGCCGCATCGGCTCTCTCTTCTCTTATGCACCAGTCAACCGCTGACGCGGCGCACAGGCCAACAAACCGAAGGGTTTCTCAGCGCCCCTTGCAGGCAATAAGACAGTAGTTATGGCCTCAATCGCGCACTGTGTCGTCTACTTAACGTATGTAGAAAATCGATATGATACTCGTTTTGATCCGGCGCAGCCCGCTATATACCTAAGGTAGATTACATTGCGAGGTGATATAAAGATAAAGTGAAGTTTCTTCGGGAAATTCGATCCGGCAAAGCTCATCCTCCCGCCGTGGTGTTTGGATGACGGCCTAATGGGCAACGTATGTAGAGAATCGGAAAAAATTTCACCCGAGCAATCATATTCATTAGAAGATATTATTCTCAGTGTGTGTGTGTGTTCAACCATCTATTTCGATGAAGTCCACCAACATGTAGGTACAGAAGGTGATAGTCTCAAGGGATAGGTTGTAGTGATAGCAGACGTAGTTGGT